AATGTATTTGAAGAAGCCCTTTCTATTTTTTAATGGTGTGTTACCTGATGTGCTGGCTGTGCAGAACTGGCTGATCTGGTATTTGGGCATTTATGTCAGAGCCAAAACTTGCAGGACATGGAGACTAACTGTGGCGGTAAAGTACAGTAGACTTTCTGATCGCAGTTTTCTTTTTTTGTTCCCAGGGAAACAGATGTGTTTACACAATTTGAGTTAGCTTTCAGCTTCTTGCACCTTCTCTATTTTTTTCTGTAACTGTGATGTGACTTTAGAAAATAAAGTATTGAAAGGCTTTAGCAAGTTTCTCACCAGTACTCTATGAAAGCTCTTGTAAGGTACGTTTTTGCAGTTGTGTTTTTCCAGCAAGTTGGTATTTCTGAAAGGTAAGCAGAGCATTCCTTCAGAAGTGTTTGGCAATAGCGGCTTCAATTTAAATGGTGGCTTTATTCTTTCTGGAGAGTGGCTATTAATGGCTTAACACATATAAAAGGTGCTGTCAGAGTGCACAAATAGATAATGATTTATTGCATTTCAGTGGGCATAGCTCCAGATAGAAGAGGCATAGTGGCTGCTTGTTGCACATAATCATGATGTCTAATATGACATTGTGTAATTCCTGCTTACTGCCAGGAAAGTGGCATTTCAGATACTGTTCCTTAAGAGCAGGAGTAGCAAACAAGGTGATGATGATGATCTCCTAGGGTGCCACAAAGGGTAAGAGCATAGACTCGTGTGGTTTAAAGGCTATAAATAGTTAGGCTGCTTTCTTTTAAAAAAAAAAAGGGAAAGCAAGAGAGAGACGCAGATGTCACTGAAATGCTGACGTCCACGAGGAACTTGAGCCTACTTAAAATTGTTGTGTCAAAGTGTCTAATGAGGCCCTCCAAACATGTTTACTCTGCTTGCTGTGGGCATGCAGAGATTATTTCTGATCTTGAGCTCAACATGTTAACTGTTGCGGTTACTCATCAAACAAGCAAGGCACAATCATCTGCTCAAGGATATAAAAGAAATGTGGTGGTTATTTCTGAAATACTTCTATTGATTGAGGAAATACTCTGATAAATTGGGCTTTACGTTAGACTTGTTTCCTTCAGTCAATGAGATTCCTGATCTAACTTATACTCAGATAGGCATAGATACAGAGATATATAAAATCTCAAATATATCCTTGATTTAGCTCCAGATGCAAACTCTGGAAATCAAATTTAAGAGTTTCCTTTTAACTTAGGACCTGACATGGAGTCATGCACTTGGTGCTTCAATTCATTTTTAGCTCTCTTGAAACTACCTGCTCTCAGGTGCCCATTGGACTCTTACACATAGCCCAAGAGTACCTTTGTTTAGGGTTTTAAGCAAACACTTAAAATTCTTTGCCCTTTAGAAATAGATTGAATAGAGCTGTTGCCATTTTCCAGGCCACCGGCAGCTGAACGGCCATTAGTCTCTGTGTTTAAGTGAAACCTCCATCCTGGAGTTCACCTTGTGTGCACTTGCTGGCTGCTTTTCCTGACTACGGTGCTTCCCATAGAAAGGAACTGAGAACCGTGGATGGAGTGGAGCAGTTTGCAAGGTCCTGGCAGAGCTGTCCATGCCTTGAGAGCTTACAAGAGAACCGAAGGCTTAGTCTGAAGGGCTCTAGTTATATCCTGGTGTTCCTTTGCAAAAGGGCAGGGCTGTGCCAGAGGGGTATTTTCGTTTGTTGTGGCTATCTGTAATGTAAGGTACAAACATCTAGCATACCTACCCACACAAGCTGATTTAAGTGTAGACAGTTTTAGTATGTTAGGGTAAGGCTTAGTTTGTTTTTTTCTGAATATTCAAGTTTTGTAGTGACATACATTTCACAGCTATTTTCAGTAAGGATAACGACACAAGAGGACCGTATCTCCAGTTGGTATAAATTGTTGTATCTCGGACTTTTATTCAGCTACAGCACTGTATTTACTGTATGTACTAACTGAAGATCTGACCCACCAACTGCTGTGTACAGGGAAGTAAAAATTCTTTTCAGATTATAGCACTTGCCATAGATAAGCAAAAACAGAGCTGGGAACAGGCAGTAGGAAAACTCCATTTAATCGTACAAGCTTCTGGTAACTGCATGTCATGGCAGTGAAGGTTAGTAACACCAAGATCATCTGATCTTACTGCAAATGGCTGTGACTTTTTTCCTCTAAATGTAAAAATATTTCTTATCCCTCTGTATAAAAAAGACAAAAACAAATGGAAAAACTGACCATACAGACAAAACAGCAAAACTAAAAACTTGCAAAATGCTCTCACAGTGCAAGCAAGGCTTTTCTCTGATTTTTTTTTTCTAGTGTAAGTACTTTTAAGAATTGCCAATGAGTAACGGTAAGTGAAAAAAAAAAAAAGGAGAATAATTTAAAAGATGACAGCATCTCTCATTAAAAAAAAAAAAAATCATCCAGACTGTTTGGTGTTATTTTTTTATCTGTAAGATCTGCACTGACTCACTGCTACTCAGAGCTTTGTAATTGCACCCGTGGAGAAAATGTTTTACAGTTGGCACATTTTCTTTGTTTGTATCTGAGTTATACTTCATACATAACAGATTCTTTCTGTTAGAGGTCATAACTCTACTTAAAGCATTTTTAAAATATTTAACTTGGTGTGTTTGATGCAAATATCTAATTGATTCTATTGCATGAGTGATTTTTTTTTTTAATTTGTTGTGTCTGTGTATTGTGAAGTTCCCTGCTTCCCTGCTGTATTACCAAGGGCATATTGATATAAAAAATCCTGCTTGGAATAGCTTGGGTGAGCCTAGTCTCCCACAGGCACAGAGGGTGGATACGGCGCCTGAAGTTTTCTGACCACGCTGAACTTTCTAGAGATGTTCCAAAGTACTCTTGACCGGTGTTTTCAGCCACGTGTGTTTTGAACTCTCAGGTTTGTTATACTACGCTGGCCACGGCTATGAAAACTATGGAAACAGTTTCATGGTTCCTATTGATGCTCCGAATCCCTACCGATCTGCAAACTGCCTGTGTGTGCAGAACATCCTCAAACTCATGCAGGAGAAAGAGACGGGACTTAACGTGTTCCTACTGGACATGTGTCGGAAAAGGTACAACCTCGTAATTCATGAGTAGTGAGAACTGACATTGGGTGTTTGAGGGATGTTTTTGCTTCACAGTAGAGTGAGGGGATGTGATGACTGTAGGAACCAGCTGTGAAGTTCAGTTTATTCACTACAGCAACAGATGAAAACTGAGCCTGTTTTAAAATTGAACAAATAAAAGTGAAGCCGCTTTGAGAGACTGGCAAAGGATCTCGAGAGAAAGCTGGACTTCACGCTAAGAGAAATCTTTAGACTAGGCTGAGAATTCACTGTACTGGAACGTTCATGGTTCTGAGGAGTCACAGGTGGCACCAGAGTGCTTTTAAAGCCCATAGGGTTAATTCCTAGACTTATTCTGCCCTTGGCCTTGGATGGAAACGTGAAGCTGGTGATTAGACTTTCTGTTTCCATGGGTAGATACTTCCCTCTTGATTTGAATGACATTTATTTCTTCTTTTGTTGTTGTTTAGAAGTTATAAAGCATCAGTCGTCTTAGATAAAAGTGAAATTAGGCATCTTAAAGAAGAAAAATGACCCTTTCTCCTTGCATCACTAACCGTCTTCATCCCTACAGGGAGGAAGGAGGATCCATGTGATCAAAGGCATGTTAATTTGATAGAAGGGCTCAAGGGAAGTGCTTATTTTGGATTTCTTCAGAGGCATGGATTTTGTGGACTGCTTTTATGCTGGGGATGTTGCATCTTTATTTAGAGCTTAAAAATCAACTGGTTTATCAATTTTTTTATGAACAAAGTACTGTTTGCTTTCCATGTTGAGACTATGACTGATTGAAATCAGCCCTTCAGTCAGCACTTCTGAAAATTGGTCTCTAAGGAATATGTCATAATAGAAAATCGCTAGTGCTCCAGTGTTTGTAGAGCCTCTAAACTTCACTGATAATGAAATGCCAGTGGCCCAATTCAGCTGCACAATCAGCTGTCCAAATAGAAAATCCTGCTGCATAAGCTTCATCTTAACTATGCAGACACCATGTTTGGGAAAAAACAAAACAAACCACTCATATAGCTGTAACCTAAAATGGCTCATTATCAGAAATCATTTTTAAGAGATTGTAGCCAAACTCTCTGTTGGTTAGTATGGCGTGCCCTCGTCTGGGTAAGGCGTGATATCTGACTGTGTCTTTACATTGTCCTCATGAAGAGTGTTGGTGATGCTGACTATTGTCTTCTAGCAATCAGGGCTCATTCCAGAACTGTAGGAGAGAAAAAAGTTACTGTTTCTGAACAATGCTGTTTTGGTATGTTGAACAACAGTAGTGTATGTTACCATTATTAGCTCTCAAATTATTCTTTTACTTTTTTGTGTTTCTGTTTATTGCAGAAATGAATATGATGACACAATTCTTATCTTAGATGCTCTGAAGGTTACGGCCAACATTGTTTTTGGATATGCAACGTAAGGAAATTTTTCTTCTGTCGTGCCACAGAGGTTTTGAAGCCAGAAGTGACCGCTGAGATTGTATAGCTACCAACTGTGGTGTAGGGGCAGGGGCGGTTGTGTCCTGTGTGTTCCTAGCGGTACTTGCTGCACTGTGGGCTTGTACGGAAGGTCGAGTACTGGGGAACAGCTGTGTGCTGTACCCTCTCCAGTCATGTGTCTCCTGTGTTAATGCAAGTTAAAGTTCTAGAAAAAAAGTGTGTTAGAAATATAAATTAATGAACTGGAGTAGCAGCATATAGATTCGCCCTTGTGTTTCTTATTCTAGATGTAAAGAATAAGGTTACAACTGCAGTTGGAACTGTTTGAAGTGGTTACTTATGCAGAAAGTTAAATAACCTCCCTCTTTCAGTTTTCAAGTTGAGTGCAAACACTGCTGAATAGAAGTAGTCAAGAGCTTTAATGAAGTCTTCTGTGAGAAATTTAAGCTCCTCACGTAAACAGTTTGACATCAGCTCTGGTCTGTGGCTTGACTGTAGGTGAAATCTTCCCAGGATGAACGTGAAGAGCAGGTTCGCCTTAGGCACAGCCTGGTTTTCAAATTGTAGGGTTTCTTTCCCTTATTCCCAACATAACTTTACTCCTTTTGTCCTCATGTTGATCTTAATCATGCAGATGTTTTGGTGTTTTTCCTTGTCTGCTATTGGTGATCTCCTAGGTGCCAAGGAGCAGAAGCTTTTGAAATTCAGCAGTCAGGGTTGGCCAATGGAATCTTCATGAAGTTCTTGAAGGACCGCTTGTTAGAAGACAAGAAGATTACTGTACTGCTTGATGAGGTTGCAGAAGGTGAACTCAAGCTTACTGCACTAACAGTATGCTCAGCCTGCCTTACTAAACTTCTTTGCTTAAATGTTCTTCTCATGGCGGGTGTCATTAACACTCCTTCAAGCTCCTTCTTGTTGCATTTTGTTAAAACAGCAGCTTTCATCAAGAAGCAGGTGCTACTGGGCAGCACATTAACAAAGATCACAATATTATAAAGGGAGCTGAGCTTCTTTAATAGTGATCAATTTTGTACTCTTCTTTTTAGTGGAACTTACTTGTTCTGAGTGTCTTTCTGCATGGAGCTTTGAACTGTTCGTGCACAAAAATTACTCTTCTGTCTTGTGGGGTCAGCTGCTAGTGGTAGTCCAGTCATTGCCCTGTTCCTTTAAACAATTAACTGAGTCCTACCTGTCTCAAAGAGTGCTACAGTGATGATAATTATCTGCTCTCTACCAAAGATTTTAATTTTAATTAATTTTAATTTAATGTGCCTGGTTCAGTAATAGCCTTTTATAATTGATGGGAGAAGTGTTAAAGTGAGAACTGTTGAGGGGAAAACGTATTGCTTCTGTGCAAACATTTGCTTGAAGCATAGAAGAATAGATAAGGCCATTGACAGAGAGCTGTCTGTGTAAGACTGTTGTTTGCAGGTAGAGCATGTCAGCAGCCAAGTTCTGCTGTGGTTTCTTGGTGTGTATTTGGTGTGTACTTGGTGCAGATGCCGAATTTTGCCCAGCCTGTCTTTTGACAGGGATCTAAAAAGCGGAAGAAATCCAAGAGCATGCAAAGTAAAGTTCTGCTGTCGACAGGTCAGGCTGCTGAAAACGAAATTCAAAGATTAACTCGCAGAGCTGATGTCAGTGCTCTGCTGGTGAGAGGGAGGAGATCACTGGGTGACTAGCTGATGGGGCTCCTCTCCGTTTTTCATCATCTGCAGACTTGCCGAGGGTGCGCTCTGTCCTGTCGTCTTGGTCATTAGTGATGATGTTAAATGAACAGTATTGGCCCCTTTATGGGCCCCTAAGATGCTCCCCTTGCCTCCACCTCTTTAGAAATCCCCTCCAGCGGTATTGTTCACGTGCTTTAAATCAGTCACTTGAATTGGGACCTTACTGAATCAGAGCTGCGGTACTGCTTGAACTGGTTTGTTCAAGGATGTTGACTGGGACACAAGCAGAACCCTGGGGACACTGCAGGCACCTGGTGTGCTGTTTTAGCCTGACGTTAATGACTAGCTGAGCAATGAACACTTCTGAAACGGCAAGTTTTTAGGGAAGTGCTGACACTGGCATAACCAGAGCAACCAGACAACATTGCGGTGAGGTACCTAACTTAGAATTTCAGCAGCACTGATTCTGAGAGAAACTGTTTGCATCTTCTTTCCAGATATGGGCAAGTGTCACCTTACCAAAGGCAAGCAAGCTTTGGAGATCCGCAGCAGTTTGTCTGAGAAGAGGGCATTAACTGATCCCATTCAACAAAGCGCGTCTTCTGCAGAGTCTCTGGCGCGGAACCTACAGTGGGCCAAAGCTCATGGTATGGCACAGTCTGCTTCCAGGTGATCCTGCTTGCACAACGGGAGAAGTAAGAGGATGTACTTCCTTACTGATCCCTAGTCTGTGGTTGAGATATTGGATGGAAATGGAAGGAGTTCTAATTCATATCTGAATTTCATTAGTATATTCATATCTGGGAAATTTTTGTGTTGGGATTGACCTCTATGTGAGGTGATAACAAAGTGACACGCAGAATTCATCCTGGGTAACTATATTTAAGGCCACTTGACCACTGAAGGGGAGACTTAGATGATGTCTACTTCCTGGGATAATCTCCTGGCACTCTTTTTGTGCCTAACAATGACACTTGTAAGACATCGTTAATATCATTCTAAAGTCATCACCTAAAATAGCCAGGTGAACTGTATGGTAAAGTGAACGATGAAAAGGAGTTTTCAGTGTATGCAACTGAGAAAACTAAAATAAGAGTGAGATTAGTTCCAGGCTTTCTAGATTTCTTTCAAGAAGAGCACTGGGGTTTAAGAACATTTTCTTTTTCACCTAATATGTTGGAGTACATTTTCAAATTTCTTTGACAGATTGGGCAGAGGGTCACGGGCAGCATTTTTAAGACTTAACTAGTCATGTAGGCAGACTCTTTCACAGACATGGATTTTCATTTGTGGAATCAAGCCCTTAACTCATGTTTGTTAAGTGATTGAAATGCAAAACAACAATTATAAAGACATAATGTTACCTTATGGTTTATTTGTTTTAAGCCATGCATAGAAGAGAATGTGTTTGGAATTTGGGAAGAGAATAGCCTTTATGTTTGTATAAAGGTATGTCTATGGTTATGTTAAATAATCCACTCCCAGTGGGATCAGAAAAATCAGTAGAGAGCCTACAGACACAGAATGATCTCATTGACCCTTGAGCACTTCCAGATATGGATTGAGAAAGACCAGAAATATAAAGAAGAAAAATACTGCGGGCTAGGCTTTGTGAATGTGTGCATAGGCTATGAAAGGAAAAAAAAGAACGTGAAATTCACTTTCCTGTCCAATTCAATATACCTGTGTCTCCTGTGTTTTGGATATATACCATATGAACCTTCCTGGAAACAAATTCTTGGGTCAGTAAGCTATATCGCAGTTAGAGGAAATGTTGCCTTGCTAGTTGCACAGAGATTGGAAAGAAACCTGCGAAGGCAGCAGTTGAGTCAGCTCTCTCTGGCAGCGTCTTCCAGTTTCTGTGGGATACTAGCAAACAGTGTTGCTGCCTGGTTGACTTCTAACCTGGTTGCTTCACTGTAAACATGTAAGTGATAGGTGGAGGGAGGGCAGGAGGAAGAGGTCTGTACCTTTTAAACTTTTTAATTTAAAAACAAAATTTAAAAAACTAGAAAATAGATACGCTAAGTTTTATTTAGAATGTAATGATGTGTTATTTATTTGCAGAGCTTCCAGAAAGTATGTATCTTGAATTCAGGTGTGGTGTTCAGATTCAGTTGGGGTTTGCAGCTGAGTTTTCCAATGTCATGATCATCTACACGCAAATAGTAAAGCAGCCACCTGAAATAGTAGTTTGCAGAGCCTACGTTACAGACTTCGCGCTTGTAAGTGCTTCCTGTTGGTGACTTGGTGATCTCCCTCCGCTGAAGCTGAAAACTGCCTGGTCTGTCCATGTCAAACTGCATCTTTTGTAGTAAAACGGGTCGAAACCGTTGAAAAGGTGCTTACATGTATGTGTTTGTATAGACACACACGTTTACTTATTTTTTTTCTAAATTAGGGATAATATTTTTCAAAGTCTCCTTTGTTTTTCGTTGGCTAACATCAGGTATGTCTAGTAGAAAGTGTCCCTGCCCCTGGCAGGGGGTTGAAACCAGATGATCCTTAAGGTCCCTTCCCACCCAAACCATTCTGTGACTCTATGAAGCAGTTGTTATATTTAATTAAAGATTTAAATGTCAGTAGCTCCTACGTGAGCTGAAGACACATCTGCCTTGCAGGACAAGGTTTCGTAGGCTTTACAGTTCTTTGCACCTGGGTGATCCTGTCACTGTCTTCTTTGATGTCTGTGAAAGAGTACATGGGGCAGAAAACCTTTTTAGATAGAACAAACAGGACACTTCTGAGACTTTATGAATAACATATTTGCATTAATTTGCATAATAACTACATATATTTTTAGCCCACAGAATCAGTGTTGTAGTACTGTGCTTCACAGTAGCAGTTAGGTATAAAAGAGCAACCCTGAAGCAAGCACAGCACGTTTGACAGGAACCATCAGCAGAAGAGGGTGACCTTCTGCTTGTGACTAACAGTGCTTTCAGCAGCTTTTGCAAGTAACCCAAGATGGGTGTTTTCTTCCCTTTTAAGAAGAAGAAAATCCTGACTCTATAAAAGGAAATACTGATCAGTATTTTATGATCTACAGATTCTGTACCCTCAGTTCTAAGTTTTCATTTCTTTCTTGCAACAGGACCTGGATGTGGATCCTAAAGAGGCCAATAAAGGAACTCCTGAGGAAACTGGAAGCTATTTAGTGTCAAAGGACCTTCCCAAACACTGCCTCTACACCAGGCTAAGTTCACTGCAAAAACTAAGGGTTAATATATATTATTCCTCACAAGTTTGTTCAGATGGTTTAGATTAACCGTGTTGCTTGGTAGTTCTGCTGAGGTAGCTGTGTATTGTCTGCATAAAAAGTAACATGTTCTTTGGAGGGAAAAAATGGCTAATAGCACAATTGAGTGACTTTAGTTTCTTAGCTGAAAAATAAAAGCCAGGGAACCAATGCACGTGCAATCCTTCTACCGCTGTAGAAGGCACTTTGTATTTTCTAGGCCCGTACTGAACTTTGACAGGGTGATTATTTTTCTGAAGATCAGCTATTGCACGGTCATGGTTCCAGCTGGGACAGAGTTCACTTTCTCCCCAGCAGGTGGGAGAGGCTGGTTGGGGTTTGTGCTGAGGAGAAGCTGATCACACACTGATGGGCAGAGCTGCTGCCAGGACAGTCAGAGACTGTCCAGCTTCTCTGCTGGGCCCATGTCTGCAGGGGCAGGAGGAGCTGGGAGGGAGCACAGCCCCAGTGACCAGCCCAGGATCTGACCTTAGGTTTAGGATTGAGACCCAAACCGGCCAATGGTCTGTTCCAGATCATGCACAGTATATAGATTAGGATCTGTCCGGAAGTTCTCTCTCCAGTTCATCTCTCGGTTGACTCTCAGGCTCGGATCTCCTTTTTGGGATTGTGGTTTCAGGACTCTCCCTGGTCCAGGATCGTTGCCCAGAAATGAGCTGAGTCTTGGTCATTGGGTAGTGAGCAGTTTCACCGTGTATCACTCATTTGTATACTTACATATATATTACTACTATTATAATCATCATCATAATTATTTCCAGTATTATTGTAGTTTAGCTATTAAATGGTTCTCATCTCAACACACCAGTCTCTTTTCCTTTACCCCATTAATTCTCTCCCTCGTTCCCTATGGGAGGGGACAGTGAGCAAAGGGCTGTGTGGTGTTCGGCTGCCCACCAGGTCAAACCATGACATGCGCTCTGTGGGAATGTTCCTACGCCCTGTAGTAGAAGTGGGATGTGACCTGAAGCAGAGCTCCATCTTACCAAGTCGTTAGTAGGAGATTAAAATGTTACATACCCTCTCCTTCCATTCCAGCCTGTCCTCTTGGGCAAGCAGTTTATGAAAGGTTCTCACTTCAGCAGACAGTGGCACTGTGAAGTTTGTCTCTATGTCACGAACATCTGTGCTGGGCATCGCTCGGTATCTCTTTTTCAGTGCTTTTGACAGCTGGTGTAACATACATGCTTCTGGAAATACAGAAATCAGGGGAGCAAGTATTAAGCAAAGGTCCTCAGTAAACAAGTCTTGCCTAACACATGTTCTTTAGCTCCTGAAAGGTTAGTCTCCTTCTCCATTAGACTGTGCCTCTTTAAGTGTTTCTGATATTGTTTATTTGGGGAGGAAGTAGAACCTTTTTTTTTTCTCCCCCACCCCCTCTGTCCTCTTTTGCAGGAACACCTGATCTTCACTATTTGCTTGCACTATCAGTATCCAGGAATAGAAGATACAATGGATGAAAGAAAGGAAGTTAACGTTGGGAAGCCCCTTATTGCTAAATTAGGCCTTCATCATGGATTCAAAACCAGTAACTGTCTCCCGACCTGTGGCATGGCAAATAATCCTTTTCATAATCGAATAGAATCAAGTCCAGTGGCACCTAAATACTACAACCCTAGTCATTGCCAAGCAAATTCCTGCCCAGGTGTTTACCATCCAAACCGTATTTGTTCAGACGGCATCAGACAACCAGGGGCATGTTCTTGCAAAGGGACTTCAAGGATATTAGCTTCGAGACATGAAGTGCAGAATTACTCGCCTCCTGTGGAAAAGAGCAATGTCCCAGTAGAGACCACTGATGATACTGTTGAACTGGATTTCCTTCTCTCCAACAGCCTCAGACTGTCTGAAGAGCAGTAGCTGTGATGTGTTCAGAATAGACCAGAGTACCACCCTTGAATAGGGGACCTTCCACACTGCTTAAACATCTTCTGGAGTTTGGGAGCTTCACGACAAAGGGATTGGCAAGCCTAGAGATGGTACTGGAAATGAGATTATCATGAAAATCTTTCAGATCCAAAAAGACAAAACTGGACTGATAGATTTAGGAAGGAAAAAGACATGGTTTGTTTTTTTTTTTTTCTCCTACCATTTGACATTTGATAGAGGGGAAAATCTGAACTTGTGGGTTTCCTGTTCCATTCTCTGGCAGTCAGGCGGCTAAGGAACAGAGGCAATCACCCATTTCTAGGAGGAAGCTGCCCACCTCTGTTAGGGGATGAATGCATAAAAGCCTGGCTGTGGTGTCCAAATTTCTCTTGAGACGGTAAAGCCTTGGATCTTCCCAGGTACTTCTCCAGTACCTACTGGAGTTAAGATCTATGTTTGATAAATCTTCTGTTTTCAGAGAGGAATTGCTCTCCCGCACAAAAACAAGATAAACATGTAGCTGTCAGAGGAAAAAATGTTGACAGAATTAAGCAGGAAGATGAATTCCCATGTCCTCTATGATTTAACATTATTTTTTAAAATCCATTAGCTGCAAAATGATAAATATACCTTTCTCTCTTCCATCTTTCCGTTTCAGTTATTCAATATCTGGGGATTTCTTTTTACATACTGCATTAAAATAATGCTTTAAGTGTTTATGTATGTTGTAATTGCCTCCTATTGAGTATATAAGTTGACACATAATGTAAATGAACTGAGCAAAGAGGCAGCTTTTACAGAAGCGAAGATATAATTTTAGTATTCCAGTGTTAGAGTATGTCTCCTTCAAGCCTCAGTTTCTTTCCTTACTCGTGTTTGTATTAGGATCAGTCACTGCCATTCCAGTCCCTTGGATGAGGCTAATAACCAGCTTTGACTGCATTTTCCTCTCTCGTGGTCTCGTGTCCCGTGTCTGGCAGCAACTGACAGATGGATGAAGAGCTGTGCAAAGAAAACAAACCCTGAACTGAGCAAGTAAACTAACGTGATCACATTTTTTTCTTGTTTTAAGAGAACTAGATTACAGATTGTCAGAGAGAGCAAAGTCACAGGTTCCTTCTGTGGTGGATTGTTCTTATGATAATCTTACGTGACACACGTGAGACTTCTGCTGTCTCGTTTCTGGAAGGGTGGTCTTTTCCTGTTCTGGACGAACACTAAATGGAAATGTGAGAAAAAAGTCCCTGTTCATAGCAAGCAAAGTATTGTATGGTTAGTCACGCAGGAAGACATGCTGAAGGCTAGAAATGAATGGGCAAGATGAGTGCAAACTTCAGCTTTCTTCAGGCTGGAGTACAGGGGTGGTGTTCCTGTTCCTGGTGATTTTATAAACAAACCAACAAATGCTACTCAGTTGTTTTCCAGGCCAAATGAATTTATACTCCTTCAAATAAAAATGCAACAAGTCTGCCCTAGAACTGTGAAAATCCAAGGTAAAGATTCCAGCACACACTTACAAGGGATAAAGCAATCCTAAATGCCGTCTGCCGAAGATGAGGGACACCCACTTCACGGCAGGACCTGACACTTGGTACGTAGCCCTAGTGCGCGTTTGCTCTGGAGCCCAAGGGAGGAGTTCTCTCCATAGGTGCCAGAAGTCAGCTAGTCCTCCAGGTCGTTCAGGCTCTGAACCCCAGAATCGGAGGCAGAGGCACCTTCAGAAGACAGTTTATCCTTTACTGAAAGCCAAATGAGCCGCTTCCTGCTTGGCTGAACAAAGGGAACAGACAGACCTAGCTTGGGCTGGCTGCCAGACCTTTTAGATGTTGCCAAATGTCTTTATCTGTGTTCAGGAAAGGGCACTTTTGCTCACCTAATTTTTCTGCATATTCAGGTTGCATACTTTCGTGAAAAAAGAAAAATTCATTTTTGTAATGTTGGGTTTTGTTTCAAAATACTGAAGAACCTGTGATGTGCCTGTGTGTATCTGGGGACGAGTGTGAGAACACTGATGTTTTATTATGTCTTTAAAAGTTGATGCTTTGAAAGCGTGAAAGTATCAGGGTGTAAGGTAATTAAAATTCAAGGCAATATTCAGATACAGCCTTTCTTGCCCAGGTAATATTGGTAAGCAATATTGCTTTAATTAAGATCCCCATCATGAAATAATTTTTTACTTCAGAAAAACTATTGTAGGGCTTTTCATTAAGTAGGTAGCAAAAAAAGAAAATAATTGAATCTCATTGATGTGGTAGACAAACCAGTTTAAATCTCCAGTTGAGATCTGTGCTTTGGTGGGATCTCTGAAGTCTTACAAGATGTTGGCTGGAGGCTGAGGGATGTGCTGTATGTGGTCCTAACAAGGTTCAGATTTAACGCATCGTTAACTATATCTGTGGCTCTTCATGTGTGCTGAAAGGTGGATATATGTACCTGGATTTTAAATGTAGTTATTTCCAAGTGACAGCCATGCTTGAAGTAATCTGCAAAGGAACGTGAGCTTCTGACTTGCTCTTTTGGAGGGTATTAACTAGGGAAATATTTATTGATGAATGAGGTGTACCTGTGCATTAATCATCCTCTGTATTTGACTTTTAAATAAAGAATGATAGCTTGAGACATGGTCTAGTACTGTAGTATTCAGCTGATACGTTGTCACAGTTTTATGATTTGTACAAAAGTTTATCCTGCTTCTTACTGTGTAATAAACTGTTGTCCACAAAATGATATATCTGTGCATATGTAGTTCCTATATTCTTCTACTCCTCCTAGTTTAAAACCCCCCAAACTGTATGTATGCATAGAATAAAATAGTTCCCTTAACAAAAAAGAAGGCGAAATCTGAATCATTAGCTTCAGCTCATGGTAAGCATATCTTCACCCTGGGTGTGTTCAAATTCCTGAAACTATGCACTTAGAAGATTTTTTTTTTCCAAGTTTATATTCCTTCAGCTTCTGCTGCCCCAACTGTACTGGCAGCCAAAACTCCATGGTCCTTCTCCATCGCTTCGCAAACAAGTTTCAGTCGTATTTGGACAATTTCCTTCAGAAATGTGGATAGAGAAAGAATCCAATTATTAAGCCTTAAACGTTGTCCGCAGAAAGGCAGGGGAACTCCCTGACTGTGTTGTCCTGGCCCAGGGAGGGCTTCCAGGAGCAGCACCGGGGCGTGAGCAGCTGCCTCCTGGCACGGTTCAAAACCAGCTGTGGGCACTCGGCCGGTGCGCTCCAGCGCAAGAGCTGGTCAGGTTTTGCTTTCAGGAACTGTTTTAATCATGGATGGTAAGGGTGAAATATTCTAATTCTCAAGGACAAGCTGCAGGAGACATCTATCTCCCTTGGCCCATATCCAGTAGTTCAGTCCTTTAAAAGTTCATCATGCATAAATTAAGGCAGCATTTAAATCCCAGTTAAATCAGGGGGATGAAAATACAGGAGTGAACCTAGGCCTTCATTAGAGCTCTCTCTGGCCTGTGCTGCCCCTTCTGAACTGAAGCCTTCGGATTTTTTTCTTGAAGTGCAATAGTTTGTGTTTAGCTTCAGGGCTGTGTTCACCTTGCCCGATGTTCCTGGCTACTGTCAGTCTAACGCCTTTCAGTATTACTCCTTCCTTGGACAGAATTTGAATTCAGACAGCGTAAGATCTGCTCCCTGTTCAGAGCGTGACATTTTGAGGTCCCAGGTGTTGCTGTGCACTGCAGACGGGTTTAGGGTGTCAGGTGCAGGAGGAGGGGCTGGGAATTTTGGGGGGGTTGGGGCTTTGTTTCTAGAGTTTGATCATCCTGTTAGTTCAGTAATTGCGATAGTCTAGGAACGGAGTAAGAACACCTCCGTGTTATGGAAATCAAGCAGGTATTTAATTTCTAAGGTACCGCTGCTGCAGTTTAGTCATACCAGGCTTCTTTTAAGAGCTGGTAAGAACAAATGCTGTCTCCCATCCTCGTTGCCACGCACAGCGAGGAAAGCAGGCTCGTGTGGGGGCGTGTTACCACCGTGACCAGCCTCCGCATCTGCAGCGGATGCCGCAGGAAGGGACAGGGACTTCCCCATCCGGCCTTTAGACATTTGTTTGCTCGCTCCCCGCTTTCATTTTTCAAAGTCAACAGAAATTAGTATGAAAAGCCCTCAACCTGTCATGCAAATGGCTTCACTGCATATAAGATCAAGCAGCGCGGATGTTTCCGGGGCTCTCTCACGATCAATGTGCTGTTCAGCTCTCTAAAGGCGAGGCAGCTGCACCCGCTGACATCCTGTAAGAGACAGCACCAGTTATCCTGGGGAGGTGGACACCGCTCTCCTGGTAGGGATTGGTCCAGAATTTTTAAAGAACTGCTTGGAGAGTGGCTGAAGGTACCAAATTGGATCGGTTTTTTGGCTGTAAGAAGCATTGCAGTCTTTCAAGGAAGTACGGAGTAGCTGTAAAATACTGATTTGCTGATTCTCAAGGTTTGTAGGTTTTGCTTGATGCCTGTCTTGGTGATGTGCAGAGAACTGCTGCATGTTGCAGCTACAATGAAAATGTTCTATTTGAAACACCCATTAGCTTATCAGCTTTGCTCTTAGTGGAAAGGACAGTTCATTTTAATCAGAAAACAGCTGTGCTTCATGCCAAGCCATTCACCTGTCCTGGCGGGCAGAGGGATGCAGCTGCTCGCACCCTGCATTGCAATCACAGGAATGATTTGCTGCTTGGAGGTGGAGGGGGTTTTGCAGCCCGTCAGTCGGAGGCAGGACTCCCTGCTAGTTCTGCCAGACTGTCTTCACTGGCATAATGCTGGTTACAACACGGCAGCCCCTCCTGTTACGCACTTTCCTCCGATGAGGTATATGGGAACAAGCCCTCTCCAATATATTCTGCTTGGCTTTTTCCTTTGTGAGGACTGGGGTCAGGTGAGAGGATTGTGAGCCCAACAGAAGTCGTTTAAGTGTCAGCTGGCATAAACCAGTGATGGCCTCCCTCCTGTGCCAGCTGCCCCCTCCCCTCTCTGTTA